ATCACAATACATATAATTTACAAGTAATTGGATAAAGTTTGCTGGTACACGATTGCTTTGCCAATTTTTTTTTTTACTTAAGATTTAGTAGTGAATAATATGTTACAATAAAGAAATTGATTTTTTAACTTATTTTGAGAAAACTTTAATATATATCTTAATCTTTAATATTGATCTCTTTAACAATAATATTACAAAAGCTTTACTAAAAATTATAAATTATCATACAAAGTTATATAATATTTTTTATGTAATATTTATAACGATTTTTTTTATTAATTTTAATTGATCAAGTATATATACATAAATCATACATTTTAAACGTTTTTTAATTAAGCCAGACGACTAATTTCTTTGATTGATTTGAGTAATTCAAAAATTATTTTTTCTATTTATTATTTAATGAATTTGTTAATTTTAACAAAAAATAAACAAAAATAAACAAAAAATATTTAATTATTTTGAATGTTCAAACACAATTGCAAATCCATTCACGTTAAGTGTACTTTCCCATCACAGTGTCTAAATCTTGAACTTTATTGACCCGATCTGGAATAGAGAGCAGTAATGCTATGTATGGTTAACGCCCAGCAGAATCCTTTCCATTATTGAATAAATTGCTGTTAAAGATTTAAAACACCATCTTGCATATGCAGCAATTTAGTGCTAAATTATAACTGTTGACGAAATGCTTTACGGTACCTTTCTTCACGCTTAATAAAAGCTTAACGCCCTAAATTATACTTTATCGTGATTGTTCATGTAATCAGGAAATGAACTAGTATTTTAGATTTAATAATAAAAAATATGAATATTATAATTTATTTTTTTATTTTCAAATAAATGTTTTTATGTAGATATACTTCATTTATTATTCTTGATTACTTATATATGAATTGTTAATGTCAATATTAGTTGCTTCAAAAAGTAAACATGAAATTATTTCTCATGAAGATTTATTTTATGTCAGACATTCAATTTTTTATACTATTTATGGTAATTTATGGTAATTTAATTTTTTTGTGAAACAGATGTTAAATTATTTCACAGTAAAATAAAGATTTTTTATTATTATGTAGACAAAAATGGAGAGTAAAATTTATGTAAAATATGAAAATAATAATATATAATATATAAAAATATAATGTATTAAAATAATTTTACAAATTGTGTACTTCAAATTTGTGTTATTAAATCTCATGTTACTTTTATACAATTTACTTTACGAAATATTAATTACTAAATTACTTTATTATAAGTAATACAGAAGTGTTATAAGTATATTATCTATTTTATATTTTTGAAAATTTTAAAATTGAAGAATTTAAAAGCAATTTCAAAAAATGACAAATATATTAGATATAGAAAAAAATTAAATAAATTTTTAATTTAATGAAGCAGAATTGTTTTAATCGATTCGTAAAATTTCTATTATTAAGCAAATATATGGAAAATATATCACGATCAAAAATATCTGTATAGAGAAAGTAAAATTATCGGCACAGATCAATGCGTTGCTTTTGAAATCTCATTAATAATAATGATCTGTGGCAGGCAGAGGAAGTCACATAATATTGGTCATCTAATATGTGATAGAAACGCTATTTTCGCTTTAGTATGCATATTAATGTAGTGATCCTTATATTATAAATTATATTGGTTACTAAATGAATTTTATTTGCTATTTTTAAAGCATATTTTTGAAAGCGATAAGAATAAATATTGTATATGATCTAATAAAAAGAGAAATAAAATTTTTATTAAGAAATTAATAATGTTAATTAATTGCATCGATGCAATTAATTAACATTAATCTTCATATTATACATATAATCAATAATATAGAAATATTAAATTGAAATTTCCTCTGATATATTCATTAGCATAAAGAAAAAATAACATAGGCACACTATATCTATCTTAAACGGAATAATGAAATTGTAAGTATTGTTTTATGGAAATCTTTTCATGCAGAAGATAATTTAAGTGTTTCATTAAAAAAGTTTAATAATAATAAGATAATCAAGCAATTGGTTCTTTCACATTACGAGTAGAAATCTGGATGAAAGTTATGTATTGTAAGTCTTGATAACAACATAGTTGGCACAAAGAGAAATCTTTGTATCATTCATTCTTGAGAAATTATAATTTAGAGTACGTGGGGAAGATCTTAATTATAACATAACCTGTTTACAACTGTTAAATATCATGCAATTATATAAATTATGTAGTTTAAAATTCTTGAGTAGTCATTATTATTTTGTTAATATAATTCTTTAATACTTGTTTATAGTAATCACACATTATTAATTAAAGAAAAATATTGATAAGTACATCAAGTGATTTAAATAATTATATCTTTGTACAAAGTTATGTATACAAGACATCTGTTTATAAAACAACATTCTAATTACGTGGTGTTATTCTTATGCAATTCCAATGAAGAAACATGAATTATTAATTATGACTAAACAAGCAATAACTTGCATTATTATCGAGCAAATATTATTAATACGTTACCTAATTAGTATCTATAATAACTTTATTATTAATGCTAATTCTGCCATAGTTATATGCGCTTTTAAACGCAAAAATATTTTTAAACATATTTTTAATATTTTTTAATTTTTTAAAACTAATCGATATTGTAGACTTGTAACTACTTCGTATATATATATATCTTATTTTTCGTTATCGAAGAATTTTTTACTTTTGCGGAATAATTTATCATTTGTTGAATAACTAGAATATCTTGTTTTATTATAAATGAATTTAGATTTATATCATTACAGTAACCGGGAATATTTCGTGGAAGTATTATTCGACATAACTTATCGTAATTTACTAATTTAATGTACAAAATATGTATTTAACGAGCTCGTGATGTTTATAATATGCAGGACAGAATATAAATGATCAGATGAATAAAAAATTATAGTAGACTCGTGAAAAGTATGAAATCACTGCAGTGAGAGTGACTACGTAATGTGCTCGTTTTCATCTGTCGAATTCAAATCTTTTCACATCCATTTCAATTTCCCCATCATCTTTACTTTTGCCACCCACGTTTATATGCATCTGTTTGTATAACAGCTAGAGAATGACCTACTCATCTCGCTAAAGATATTCTGTTCAAACTCACTCTCACTAAACATATTCTATTGAAAATCAAAGTACACCTTTCTGTAGGTCTTTTGTTTATTATGATAGATAAATAGCACTTTAGTTGAAAAGCTTTCCTCTACCTTTCACTCTTATGCTCTCTCTCTCTCTCTCTCTCTCTCTCTCTCTCTCTCTCTCTC